AAGGGCATTCGCAGGGGCAGTTGGTAACGGAATATTCATGGAGTTGGTCCTCTGCACTGTAATACAAAGGGAATTGCACTGTAAAGGGGCACTGTATTGAGTACCCCTTTACAGAGCAGACCCTTATATATCACAGTGCCCCTAAAAATCTAATCACAGTACCCCCTATATATTCAGAGATGGCCCCATCAAGCAAAGAGACAACCCCATCCAGCAAAGAGACATAAAGAGATATCCCCATCCAGCAAAGAGACACCCCCATATAGCAAAGAGACATCCCCCATCCAGCAAAGAGACATCCCAATCTACAAAGATGGGATTTCTCTTTGCTGGACAGGAATTTATCTCTGCTGGATGGGGATGTCCCTTCTTGGACTGGGTTGTCTCTATGCTGGATTGGGATGTCTCTTTGCTGGACCCAATCGAGCAAAGAGACAGCCCAGTCCAACAAAGAGACAACCCCATCAAGCAAAGAGACAGCCTGTCAAGCAAAGAGACAGCCTGTCCAGCAAAGAGACAGCCCATGCGGCAAAGAGACAGCTCAAGCAGCAAAGAGACAGCCCATCCAGCAAAGAGACAACCCCATCCAGCAAAGACATACAGACCCATCCGGCAAAGAGTCAGCTCAACCAGCAAAGGGTCAGCTCAACCAGCAAAGAGACAGCCCATCCAGCAAAGAGACATCTCAATCCACAAAGAGACAGGATGTCTCTGCTGGGCATGATTGTCTCTTTGCTGGATGGGGATATCCCTTCTTGGACTGGGCTATCTCTATGCTGGATTGGGATGTCTCATTGCTGAACCCAACTGAGCAAAGAGACAGTCAAGTTCAGCAAAGAGACATCCCCATCCAGCAAAGAGACAGCCCCCCAGCAAAGAGACAGCTCATCCAGGAAAGAGACAGCCGTCCAGCAAAGAGTTAGCTCAACCAGCAAAGAGACAGCCTGTACAGCAAAGAGACAGCCCATCCAGCAAGGAGACAGCTCGCCCAGCAAAGAGACATCCCATGCAGCAAAGAGACAGCCTAACCAGCAAAGAGACAGCCCATCCAGCAAAGAGACCTGTCACATTGTGTGTGCCCACCAGCAAAGGAGAGAGGCCGCCCTTGTCCCTTCAGTATAGCTGTGTGCAGTGGCCGGTCAAGGAGGTGTCTGTGTGTCCTCGGCAGCTGCTTTCTGCTCTTCACTGGAGCCGTCTCTGCTGCTCTTCCTGTCAGCCCTGCTTTAGGCTTAGCTGTACAGTGGGAGGTGAGTGGCAGCCGCGGTCTATGTTAGCTCTGTCCAGGCCGCGGTCGCTGCTTACCTCCTGCTGTGTGGCCGGTCATCAACAGGCCGCTCTTCTAAAGCCCGGTGGTCCCAGCCCACTGGATAAATGCCCGGTGTGCTCTATGGCCAGTCCGGGCCTGCATACAGGACCTATGCATGTGTTTACATTTGCGTGTATGCTTTTAAAGCTGAGCTCCAGGAATTTAGCTACTTTATAAAATGTCCTGGATTAATAGAGGTTAAATCCAATGGAGGGGGCATGCCACCTTGTGAACATTTCTCTTTAATTTACAGTTTACATTTTTTTCTGAGTGCCAGGAGCATAACTATGACTATACTTCCACTGCTCTGATCCTGGACTCATTTCTTGAGGCTGCAGAGTCACATGCAGCCACTATACCTGCCCCTCACTTTTTCCTACCCAATCACAGAGCACTTTGTGTTAAGTGAACTCATTCACAGATTACAAAGGCTTCTGTGAATGAACAGCAGAGGGGAGGGGCAGGTAGAAATGCTGTGTGTGTGAGAACACAGAGTTTCTCCTGTCACAGCACCAGAAGCATTGTGATAGCTGCACTCCCACAACTCCATAAAACTGTAGATGTAAATTGAAGAGATAAGTTCACTAGGTGTCATGTACCTTGCTGAACTTAACTCATAGTATGACAGTACAAAGTGACTAAATTCTTGGAGTACAGCTTTTTTTAATTTTTATTTATTATATTTTATTTATTTATTATACAAAATAGAAATAGAGTATACACTGTACAGCGAAACTCTGTCATAATGTACAGAAGTGTGCACAATGTAGTAGTGCACAAACTATATATAAAGAAACATTATATTGTTGCTAAAACTACAAATATATAATGTGCCCTTATAAAGAAAAAAAATACAAAGCTGCTTTCTTAAAGCAACAACAAATAAAAAAGAAACTATATCTAAGGATGCACTATAGTATTACATTGTGTCTAAAATAAAATAAAACCATACTTAAAAAAATAAACTGCTCACATATCACAACAAAGTGCAATATGTACAAGTTCACATACAGGTATGTCAAATTATAGGAATTTATAGGACAGACAGTCTGGCCATTGAGTAGTAGATCCTGTAGATTTGAACACTATTTGTATACGAGGTCTTGTCTTCTGGTGAGCAGTTTATTTTGCATGGAGTGTTGAAGTGGAGGTGCATGGGGTGTATAACAGAACAGGTGAAGATTAGTACATGAGGATTGCTTTTTATTTGGATTTCACTATTTTTTATTTTGTATCTTTATTTTTTATTTGGACTTTAACACTTTATACACTGGGCTTTTAGGCATATATGGTCAAGTGGTTATGTGATTAATATATAATTTTATGTTTTTGTAATTATTGTTTGAGAGCTCTGCACATCTTGATATATTTATGTTACTGCCATGATTACCAGATTACAGAAAAGAGCCTGAAAGGGGAAACTAAAGCAGCCAATACAACTAAGGAGCAGTTTGCTGCAATATAGTATATTTTCAGCACATACAGTGCCTTGAAAGTATTCATACCCCTGGAAATTTTCCACATTTTGTCATGTTACAACCAAAAACGTAAATGTGTTTTATTGGGATTTTTTATGTGATAGACCAACACAAAGTGGCACATATTTTGAAGTGGAAGGAAACTGATAAATGGTTTCAAAATGTTTTTACAAATAAATATTTGAAAAGTATGGCGTGCATTTATATACAGCACCCTTTACTCTGATACCCCTGACTAAAGTCCACCTGTGTGAAATTTAATCTCAGTATAAATACAGATGTTTTGTGAAGCCCTCAGAGGTTTGTTAGAGAACATTATTGAACAAACAGTATCGTGAAGGCCAAGGAACACACCAGACAGGTCAGGGATAAAGTTGTGGAACATTTAAAGCAGGGTTAGATTATTAAAAAAATCCCAAGCTGTGAACATCTCACAGAGCGCTGTTCAATCCATCATCTGAAAATGGAAAGAGTATGGAACACCTGCAAACCTACCAATACATGGCCGTCCACCTAAACTGACAGGCCGGGCAAGGAGAGCAATAATCAAAAAAGCAGCCAAGAGGCCCATGATAACTCTGGAGGAGCTGCAGAGATCCACAGCTCAAGTGGGAGAATCTGTTCACAGGACAACTATCAGTCGTGCACTCCACAAATCTGGCCTTTATGGAAGAGTGGCAATAAGAAAGCCGTTTTTGAAAGACAGCCATAAGAAGTCCTGTTTGCAGTTTGCAAGAAGCCATGTGGGGGACACAAAAAACATGTGGATGAAGGTGCTCTGGTCAGATGAGCCCAAAATTTAACTTTTTGGCCTAAAAGCAAAATGCTGTGTGTGGTGGAAAACTAACACTGCACATCACCCTGAACACACCATCCCCACCGTGAAACATGGTGGTGACAGCATCATGTTGTGCGGATCCTTTTCTTCAGCAGGGACAGGAAAGCTGGTCAGAGTTGCTGGGAAGATGGATAGAGTCAAATACAGGGCAATCTTAGAAGAAAACCTGTTAGAGTCTGCAAAAGACTTGAGACTGGGGCAGAAGTTCACCTTCCAGCAGGACAATGACCCTAAACATACAGCCAGAGCTAAAATGGAATAGTTTAGATAAAAGCATATTCATGTGTTAGAATGGGCCCAGTCAAAGTCCAGACCTAAATCCAATTGAGAATCTGTGGCAATACTTGAAAATTTCTGTTCATGGACGCTCTCCATCCAATCTGACAGAGCTTGAGCTATTTTGGAAAGAAGAATGGGCAAAAATGTCACTCTCTAGATGTGCAAAGCTAGCAGAGATATACCCAAAAAAGACAGCAGCTGCAATTGCAGTGAAAAGTGGTTCTACACTTTAAAATGGCATTTGAATAGTGGCTATTTGTCCCATCTTTCTTTTAAAATGGCAACCAGACACTCAGCAGCTCCTGACATGGTTCACGGCTGGAGGCACTGGCTATCACTAACAGTTCCTGAATTGATTAGCTCCTGAGCTTGTAATCTTGCAACAGTACCTGAGAAACCTGAGTACTCTATAAAAAACAGAAATGTAACAAAATCCTTTTACAACTTGATCACATAGACTGTGACATGACATCACAACACTTCTTGTAAATCCAGCGACTAAGGCAGAGGTGATCCAACTCAAACCTACCAAACATACCATTTGCATTTACTGCATTAGTATTTCCAATATTTATTGGAAATAATTACATAAATCACAGAAGAGAGTGCAATGTATTTTAGAATTTTAGAGACTGCAAACCTCTGCAAATGTTATCATAATGACATGTGCATGTTTGTTTTGTTCCAAATGGAAATTCATACGAATTTTTCTTTATTCAGAGATTTAGATGTAACTGAATTTCTGAATTACAACAGTAACAAATTTCAACAAATCCAAAATAAAATATAACAAAACAATGGATTTAATTTGTTTCATCTGGGTGTTTGAAACATCCAAATGAAACGAATGATCCAACTTCCCTCTGACAGCAGAATGTAAACAATGATGGCTTTAACCACCTCCCGCCCGCCATATAGTAATATGACGGACGCAAGGTGGTTCTTTCGTTCTGGGAGGATGTCATATGCCGTCCTCCCATTCTCACCGTGCATGGGCGGCTCAGGGAGCGCGCAGTGCGGCGATTGGCGGTGCTCTGTGTCCCTCGGACACAGCGGATCACCGATCACGGAAAGAGACGAAGATGTCGGCTCGGTCATGTTATCAGCTGTGTCCAATCACAGCTGATCACATGTAAACAGGGAAATGTCGGTTATCGGCATTTCTCTCCTCGCGAGCTGTCATGCTGACAGCTCGTGAGGAGAGCAGAGCCTGTAATCGGCTTTCTGCGGAGGGGACATGTACACAGATCATCAGGGCACTGATGATCAGTGTGCCCTGATGATCAGTGTAGCCCCAGCAGTGCCAGCTGTCAGTGTCCATCAGTGCCTCGTGCCAGTGCCCATCAGTGCCACATCAATGCCACATATCAGTGCCTACCAGTGCACATCAATGCCACATATCAGTGCCCATCTGAGCTGCCTTTCAGTGTCACCCATCAGTGCCAGTCAGTGCCACCTATCAATGCCAATCAGTGCCACCTATCAGTGCTGCCAATCAGTGCCACCTATCAGTGCCAGTCATTGCCGCCTATCAGTACCAGTCAGTGCCGCCTAACAGTCCCAGTCAGTTCTGCCAAACAGTGCCAGTCAGTGCCACCTATCAGTGCCGCCTATCAGTGCCATGTATCAGTGCTGCCTTTCAGTGCCCATCAGTGATGCCTGTCAATGCCCATCAGTGCCACCTACCAGTGCCTCCTCATCAGTGCCCATCAGTGCAGCCTATCAGTGCCCATCACTGCAGCCTCATTAGCGCACATCAATGAAGGAGAAAAATCACTTGTTTACAAAAATTTATAACAAAAACTAAGAAAAAAACTTTTTTTTTTTCAAAATTTTCAGTGGTTTTTGGTTTGTTTAAGAAAAAATAAAAAGCCCAGAGGTGATTAAATACCACCAAAATAAAGCTCTATCTGTAAAAAAAAAAAAAAAATGATAAAAATTTCATATAGGTATAGTGTTGCATGACAATTGTCACTCAAAGTGCGACAGCGCTGAAAGCTGGAAATTGGCCTGGGCAGGAAGGGGGTATAAATGCTCTGTAGGCTTGTGGTTAAAAATGGAAAAAAATAAAAATAATAAAAGAAAGCATTGGGATCCCCCCCAATCGATACCAAGCTCTTCGGGTCTAGTATGGATTTTGAGGAGAACCCCATGCTAAAATTGGTAAAAAATGGAAGTGGGCCCCCCGCCAAAATTCATACCAGATCTTTATCTGAGCATGCACCCCCCCCTCAAAGCACCTTGTCCCCATGTTGATGGGGAAAAGCTCCTCTTCCCCACAACCCTGGCCCGGTGGTTGTGGGGGTCTGTGGGCAGGGGAGCTTATCGGAATCTTAAAGCCTCCTTTAAACACAAACACAGTTTTTGACAAGTCTTTTATTAAAAAAAACAAAAATCGCCACCCTCCAAAACACATCGTATCACATCAAGTGTCAGATGATGTCACCGGGTAACCCTATCCCCACGTCTACCTGTCATTCGGCAAGTGACAAGCACCAAATGACAGGTAGACATGTGGGTAGGGTTATCCAGTGACATCACCAGGTTTCTCCACCCCCATGTTTATGTCATTCAACTCTTGTCACTTGATGTGTCACTTACGTAAAAGTTATGTTTGGGAAAAAATATAGAAACATTTTTTTTTCCTGATTCGTGTCCCGAAACCAATAATATACAAAATGACAAATTATGCAACCTACAAGTCACCTACAAGACATACAGTATAGGGTGCTTCCAACATTCTGTAAAACAGGGGTGTTATGGGGAACAAGGAAGATTTAGAAAAGGGGGTATGTGGAACCAGGAATGCTGCACAGAAAACATTTCTAGGGAGCTGATTGTTGGATAATTCTAATTATTATATGAAACCTGCTCTGGGCTACTTGAGAAGGCTTTGAAAGTTTTATGCATTTGCAGGTGCATGGTTTTTTTTTATCTGGTTAAGCCTTACATAACATTTTCTCTAATAGTGTTTGTTTTAAGGTAACCTTTGGTGCTATCTTGAAAAAAAAGCATGCTAGGATGCTAATACTAATACAACATGCTGATACTGCCAATATAAAAACAAAACATATGTGCACTAATAATTATGATTTCACAGTCAAAACATAGAGAGGGATTTAATAAAACTGGAGCACACAAAATCTGGTGCAGCTGTTCAATTTGGCTTTGACAATTATTATTATTAGGATTTATATAGAGCCAACAGTTTGCTCAGCACTTTACAATATAACGGGAGGCAATACAGCAACAATACAGTTCAATACAAGAGGGATAGGAGGGCCCTGCTCCTTGGAGCTTACAATCTAGAACACCTAAAAGTTGGTTACTATGCACACAGCTGCTGCCACAAAATCTGTGCCCCCCCCCATAATGTCCAAAATTTTTGCCTAAAATCAATCATCTGTGATGATAATAATGATGAATTCCAGTTGGGATAGAGAAAGAGGCAACTGTGGTTTTAGCCTGTGGAGGCTGGCAAGTATTTTAAAGGATAAGTTCACTTTTGGGAACATGTTACATGTTCCACTCATTGTTAGGGTGGAACATGTAACATGTTTCCAATGCTGCAGCTGCTGCCGGCTGCCCCCCCCCTCCCTGTGACAGAAGTAGGGGGAGAAGTGTCCATTACTAGCTGTCAGTATTTAAAAAAAACAGCACAGTCATGCAGAGCTCCGCCCACACGGCCACATTATTTATTTCCAGAGTTCCGGTAATGAATGAACTACAAGTCCCGACAGCCTTAGCGGCTGTTGGCTTGTAGTTCTCAATGAACTACCACAGTGCTGTGGAGTGCCGTGGTAGTTCATTAAATCTTCCTTTCAATATATCTGCTTGCTTGTACATCACGTACAGGCAAGCAGAGATACTGACAGGTCTGCAGGAGACCTGCATGGCACTAGCAATCTGCTGATCACTGGTGCAATGCTTTACAGACTCCTGTAGCAAAAAATTATAAATGCACATTTTTTTTACCTGCAAAAAAATGTGCATTTATTACTTTTGTGCAAAAGGTGAACTTATCCTTTAGCCCTGGTTCACACTGATGCGGTGTGGAATTCGCAGCATTTTCAGTGTGAATTCCGAACTGCATCAGATTGCACCCCATTCATACGAACCGTTGCGGGTCCACAAAACACGGTGCGATGTGCAGAATTGGATCGCATGGGTGTGAATACCCATGCAATCCGATTCTAGTGCGGATCCAAAAAAGGGTCCTGCACATTTTTTTGGTGCGGGTGCGGTGCGATTAGAGCCATACAAAATGTATGGCTCCAGTTGCAACGCACACAAATCGCATGTGATTTGCACAGGAATGCGGTGCGGTTCCTGTACAAACCACATGCGATATACCACACCGAATGTATGTAAACCCAGGCATAAGGTAAAATTTTGCTTCTTTCTGGAACAGAACACATATTACTAATATATATAAGGAATGATGGCTATTAGATAGACATGTTATAGCTCACCAGAATGGAAACAAAATATTTTTGGAAAGGGAGCCCAAAATTAAAAATGCTGCAACATCCTATATTATTTAAAAAATGATATGCATATGTTTTTCATGCATTACATCAAGATGATGTATCCGTTTTAAACAATAAGCAGAAAAAAAAATGACCAAGAGAGCACGTGGAAGCAAGGTAGGTGGACCATTAGCGAAAACTCTAGAAAACTGTTTTATCTTAAATCAAATTCAGTGTATCAGCTGGTATTACTATCAAGGGGCACCTCAAATGTGAAGAGAATAAACTGTTTAAATAAATCCATCTTGGATGCTTTGAACTTAATGTAGTTGTTAACTATAGTTTTTTGCTCATAGAGGTTTGTGTCTGCAGATTGTAGTAGAACACTAGGGTTACCTTTGGTTTTTGCAAGAATAGGGAAACAGATATATTTGAATTTTAATCTTGTAATTTTTCTAAGATGAGGGGGGGCTTTTTTAAAACCCAGGAAAAGCCTCTTCTGGCAATTTTCTTTTTTTTTTCCAGTGCCAGGAAAGTGGGGAATCCCCGCTGACAGCAGAAATGGGTCACTAGATGTTAGGACACTGGCAGGTGCCGGCTTTCAACAGCCAATGCAAAAATGGATGCGAAAACTGAATGTTTTGTCTGTTTACATCCGTTTATCTTCCGTTCTGTTTTTTTAATGGAACAAATATAGAGCTCTGATCAATTTTAAAAAAAAGATGTGGACAGTTGCAGATGTAAACAGATGATCCCTTTTCTTCTGTTTTTCCATAGAGATCCATTGATGTCCGTTTTTCATCCATCAATGGATGGATGTAAAAAGGAAAAACAGTCCGCAAATGTGAAAGGGGCCTCAAACTATATTTTCAATATTAATGAAACAAAACAATAAACTAATTTCCAGCCAGAGGATTAAGTTTTAGAAAACCCAATGTTAAAACTGCTAACATCTTTTTTTGGGTCAAAAATTACTATAGTAAAAATAGGTCTGTAGTAATATCATGAATCACTAGCCTTACAAACCCTATGAGACTGTTATGCTTTTACTTCTATGTAGTTGACTGATAATGTTGTATAATGAAATTGTGCTGTTCTTTAAAAAAAATTTTATTTAGTCAAAGCTTAATTGAACAAGCTGAAGTTCGAAACTGATTGGCTACCTTGCATGTCTGCTCCAGTTTTAGTAAATCAGCCCCACAGTAATCTTATAACACAACAAGTAAACAAATAAATAATTTACATAAGCAGCTGAGACTGAAGAGGACAAGTCTTCCAACAATCCTAAAAGTAAGCAATAATGAAAAAAAGTTCACATGCATCTAAATAGGGATATCTTAAAGTGATTGTACAGCTTTATTTTTTAAATAAAACAACAGATATGTTATACTTACAAGATCTTTTCCAATGGTTTTGCACAGAGCAGCCCAATCCTCCTCTTCTTATCTTCTCAGGTCCCCTTTGGTGCTCCTGTTTCTGCCCTCCCACCTTGCTGAGTGCCTCTATAGAAAGCTGCTTGACAGCCAATGGCTCCTACTGCTATAAATCTGCACTTTGAGGAGGAAGAGAGTAGAGAGTGTCACTGTTCTCATGCACAGCACTGGATCGGGAATGGACTCAAGTAAATATAAGGGGGAGATTCTGTGACACAGAAGGTTTTTTACTCTAATGCATAGAATGCAGTAAGGTAAAAAAAAACCTTTAGGCTTTAGAACAACTTTAAAAGCTGTTTATAGTAACAGTGTATCACATTTTGCAACCTTGTTATGAAATACAAAACTGTAAAGTTTAAGATACTTCTAAAGCTCATAAAATACAACAAATTTAATATTTAGTATCTTACAATTCCTTAAATGTGGTGGCTGCATTAGTTTTTGTCAGACCTTTTTTTCACCTGGTAATTCTGAAAATGCCACACTTCATTTCCCTGAGTATAGGGAGCTATGGTTTGCAGCTTCCAATATGTCTGCCTTGTTCATCTCCATTACATGGGGTGGGGGTGGTGGGATTCAAGGTT